CCCTTTAAATGTAAAATTAAACTTTAAAATAAATAAATTGGAACTGTTGTTGGTAACTAACTGAAATAAGTTACGCTGAAGTACTAAAATTGTTATATGTAAGAATTTTGGTTTATTTGTTGCCAGTGTGGTAACAGCTTGTAATTCAACTTAAAAAAACAAGACTTACCCCAACTTTTTAGGTTGTTCATGGAAGTCTGTAGACCGATTTTTATGTGAAGGACTCAAGACGATTTTGCCGGGAAAATCAAAAGCATGTGATATTTACGTGCTCCTGGGAGCCCAACCCTGATCAGTATCCTGCCAGACAGAAGTGTTGCCCAACCACCTGTGGCCATGCATGCAGCTAACCGTGCCGAATGAACCATCAGGAAAAAAAGTCCTCCATTTTGTTTTTTTTGCATACCATACTTGAGGTCTTCTATATTCACTAATGCCATAGTTTAGCAAAACTTCTGTGTGTGGTGTTGAAGCCTTGAACTGAAGTACAAAGCTACCAGAAATGAAACCAAGAACACACTAATGTGAGAGAAATTTAGTATTTTGTGTTAGTCTTGGTTAAGTATAGTTTTAAAAATGTCGGTATTTAGCCAGCCTAAATATATCTCTAAAGACTCCAGATTTGGTGACTATTTTTCAAATCTAGTCCTGATGACTAATGTATAATAACTGATCATTTCGACTCATCCCTTTTCTTAAAATATGGTTTAAAGACTAATTGTTAATGCACAACTAATCTTGTGATCCGTTACGAGTTAAAATATTCATTAAAATTGGATTTCGAATAAATTACCAATAGAGTCAGATTATAAATTGGAAGACTAAATTATGTGATATGTGAAAATATGTGAAGTGAAAATAAGTGAGAAGCAGCAGGCCAGACATGCAGAATCTTCCACCCCACACCTTTGGATTCTGTTGTTGGGCCAGTGCGTGCTCCTTACAATGGTCTGGCTTGAATATAAAGACCGATGTTCTCATGTATATTTAAAGTGACAGCCCCCTCTCTCTTCCCCTCCCAAAATGTTAATGTCATTCCAAACATGACTTCTGTAGAAAACCCTAAAGATATTTTGAGAAACTGATTGCCAACATTCTTCCAAATATATTTTTGTTCCAAATATATATATTTTCCATTGACAATAGAAAATACAGGTTTGAAATGATATGAAGGTAAATGACAATTTTTATTTTTGGTGAACTTTCCCATTTAAGGTATTTAGCACTTATCTCAGTAACTTCAAAAAGTTTTGAAAGCAAAGTTAAAGTATACCATCTACATGACATCAATCTATAAGTATCAGATATTGCTTCTTGAAATCTCTTATCAAAATAAGAGATTTGGAAAA